AAAGATGACCAGTAAGGGGATCTTAACCCTTGACTTGGTGTTGTCAGCACCACGCTCACCCAGTGAGCAAATCGGCCATCCCTATATGGGATACGAACCCATGGCCTTGGTGTTATCAGCACCACATTCTCCTGAGTGAGCCACGGGCTGGCCCCAATCAGTGCTTTTTTTAAAAAAAAAAAACAAAACACTTTAGTTTTTCAAGTAGTTTTAGGTTCACAGCAAAATTGAGCAGAAAGTACTCATATTCTGCCCACCCCCACACATGCAAGGCCTCCCCCACTGTCAACATCCCCTCCAGAGTGCCTGTGTGTTACAATCGATGAACCTCCATTGATACATCGTGGTTACCCAAAGTCTGTAGCCTGCATTAGGGTCCCCTCTTTTTTTTGGCAGGGGCAAGCAGCTGGCCGGTATGGGGATCCAAACCCTTGACCTTAGCGTTACAAGGCTGCACTCTTACCAACTGGCTAAGCAGCCAGCCCTACGTTTTGGTCTTGGTGTTGTACATTCTATGGGTTTGGACCAACATATATAATGACACGTATCCACTATTATAGGATTGCACAGAGTAGTTTGCAGCAACACAAACTTTTAAAGGGTGATGTCAAGTTGAGAGTGAGCAAAGCAATTTTAAAAAGACTAAAGAGGGGCTGGCCAGTTAGCTCAGTTGGCTAGAGCACAGTATTCTAACACCAAGGGCTCGGATCCCCATACCAGCCAGCCGCCCCCAAAAAAGACAATATCTAAATTTTAAAGAGACCAAGGCTGTCCTAAGCCATAGCAGAGTCTTCAGCAAGAGGGATAATGTGTGTTCTGTATACATGTTGTATGTATATTTTAAAGAGTAATTTCTTTCCAGAACACTTAAGTAGTTGAAAAAAGATTGAAACATTAAAAACTAGGTGTATTAAAATGCACAACATGGGCCGCCCCGTGGCTCACTCGGGAGAGTGCGGTGCTGATAACACCAAGGCCACGGGTTCGGATCCCATATAGGGATGGCCGGTTTGCCCACTGGGTGAGCGTGGTGCTGACAACACCAAGTCAAGGGTTAAGATCCCCTTACTGGTCATCCAATAAAAAAAAAAGCACAACATTACGTGTAAATATTTTACTTATACCCAAACCAGAACTTATAATTTATTATAATTTAATTTTGTCATAACATACATAATTATCATTTATTATTAATATTTACTATAATATCAGTTTTATTAAATTACTATCTAGTAATATGAATATAATCTGATTAATATAAATTATATAATATTAGATATTATATGATATAAGCTATCTAATATCATATATTAGATAATATAAATATTATCATTAATTTATTATTACCTAGTTATAATATATTTTAATTTATTATAGTACATTTTATTTAACCCAAATATATCCAAAATAGTGTCATTTCAACATTTTGTAAAAAGTTTTCTCTTTTTTTACGTTAAAAAAGTTTTATCTTTTTTTTACAATATTTATCTTAGAAAACAAAAAAAGAAAAAGAAAAATTGAAAAATTGCAAAACCACCATCACACTAAGAATAAAGTTACAATAATAGTTTTAAAAATATTTAATAATTTATTAATATCTCAAAATTATTACTGGCATATTTTATCTTTGCACTAAATCTTCAAAATCTAGCATGTAGTTTACACTTGAGCACATCTCAATTAGGGTGCTAGATTTTCATTGAGAATACTTTGATTCATATTTTAGGTTTCATAAAGTTTACAGTTGAAAAGGTAGATTTGCATACTCAGGTTGTGGCGGACATACTTAAACATTTCCCAATCCCTGAATTGAGCATCATTATGTATGTATGTATGTATGTATGTATGTATGGCTGGTCAGTACGGAGATCCAAACCCATGACCTTGGTGTTACAAGGCTGCACTCTAACCGACTAAGCTAACTGGACAGCCCTAGAATCACTTTTTAAAAATTAAGATTTCAAAAAAAAAAAAGAGGGCCGGCCCGTGGCCCACTCGGGAGAGTGCGGTGCTGATAACACCAAGGTCACGGGTTCGGATCCCTATATAGGGGTGGCCGGTTTGGTCACTGGGTGAGCGTGGTGCTGACAACAGCAAGTCAAGGGTTAAGATCCCCTTACCGGTCATCTTTAAAAAAAAAAAAAAAAAAAAAAAATTTTATTCACATGTCGTAAAAGTCACCCATTTAAAATATACAATTCAAGGTTTCGTGGTGTAATGGTGAGCACTTTGGACTCCAAATCCAATAAAATGTACAATTCCGTGCTGTTTTGTCTATTGAAAACGAGCATTCGTTTTTAAGTTTAGATCTGAGTTCAATTAAATACATTTAAGTAAAAGTAAGGGAAATAGAAGTAAAAAAAATCTAGTTCTCACTCGAGCTAGCCACATTTTCTTCAGTTACACTTGCCTTCTTTCTTTCTTCACATCTATCTATGAGTCAAATTATAAAGAGAATGGAGGTCATTCAATAATTGTAACTCCCAGCCGCCGCCACCATGTGCAATTCATCCCCACTAACAGTGTTGAGTCTATGGGCTTCTGCAAAGACAGGCTTACCTAGGGGCAGCTGCTGTGGTTAGAGGTGAGAGCCTAGACCCTGTGAGGGGCAGGAATTTGGACCAGGAGCCTGGCCTTGTCTCCCCTGCCCACCCTTCTGCTCTTGACACTTGTGTTCTGTCTCTGCCTGGGCAGGGATCTGCGTGGCGGCTCCCTACGAGGTCACAGTGATGCAGGACTTCTTTATTGACCTGCGGCTACCCTACTCTGTGGTCCGCAATGAGCAAGTGGAAATCCGAGCCATCCTCTACAACTACCAAGACACAAAGCTCAAGGTGGGCTCTGAGACTGGCAGAGGGCTGAGAAGGGGCGGGAAGGCGTGGTCCCCGGCACATGCCCTTGCTATGATGCTCTCTCTCCCTGGCAGGTGAGGGTGGAACTCCTATACAATCCAGCCTTCTGCAGCATGGCCACCGCCAAGAAGAACTACCAGCAGACTCTGACGATCCCACCCAAGTCGTCAGTGCCAGTGCCCTATGTCATTGTGCCCCTGAAGATCGGTCTACAGGAGGTGGAGGTCAAGGCCGCAGTCTACAACTTCTTTATCAGTGACGGTGTCAAAAAGACCCTGAAGGTCGTGGTGAGTCCTTAGGGCACCTGCTGCCCCTCCAGGGAGGGCTTCTGGTCTCCCTACTGCTGACCCAGGTTGGAGACTCAGGCTCTGAGACACTAGGAATCACAGTGTCCAGCTGAGAAAATTTAGGGAGTCCCAGAAGTTCGGAAGCAGAGCCGGGATCAGGGTGAGGCAATTGAGATACCTCTGGCTCAGAATTTTCAGGGGTGTGGAAATGCTCAGCAATCAGGATCAATACTGCAGTGATCCCTCCGTATCCGTCCGTGGGTTCCGCATCCGTGGACTCAGCCAACCACACACTGAAAATATTGGGAGAAAAAAATGAATGGGTACAGACTTTTTGCCTTGCCCTTATTCCCTAAACAATACAGTATAACAGCTATTTACATCACATTTACATTGTATTAGGTATTATAAGTAATCTAGAGATGATTTAAAGTACACAGGAGAATGTGGGTACGTTGTATGCAAATAGTACCCTGTTTTATATAAGGGACTTGCCATCCGCAGATTTTGGTATATCCATGGGGGTCCTGGAACCAGTCTCCCATAGATACTGAGGAACAACTGTATTTTAATGCAATTTTTTTTTTTTCTAAAGATGACTGGTAAGGGGATCTTAACCCTTGGCTTGGTGTTGTCAGCACCACGCTCAACCAGTGAGCGGACTGGCCATCCCTATATAGGACCCAAACCTGTGGCCTTGGTGTTATCAGCACCGCACTCGCTATATAGGACCCAAACCTGTGGCCTTGGTGTTATCAGCACCGCACTCGCCCGAGTGAGTCACGGGCCGGCCCCTTAATGCAATTTTTAATAACACTGTTATTATTATGTTAAATGATATCTCCTTTTCTTTTCTTTTTTTTTTTCTTTTGTTCTGGTGGCTGGCCGGTATGGGGATCTGAACCCTTGACCTTGGTGTTACAACACTACCCTCTATCCAAATGAGCTAACTGGCCAGCCCCTCAATTTTTTATTGTGGTGAAATACACATGTTAAATTAACCATCTTAGTCATTTTTAAGCATACAGTTGAGTGTTGTTAGATGCATTCATAATGTTGCAGATACATCACCAGCATCCATCTCCATAACTCATCTTGTAAGACCAAAACTCTACACTTTTTAATGCAATATTATTTTTTTCCTTTTTTTTTGTCTTCTTTTCGTGACCGGTAACGGGATCGCAACCCTCAGTGTCACGCCCGCACCGCAACCGGCAATGGGATCACAACCCTCGGTGTCGCGCCCGCACCGCGCTCAACCAGTGAGTGGACCGGTCTCTATATGGGATCCCAACCCTCGGCGGGAGCACCGCCACGCTCCCAAGTGCTGCACTCTACTGAGTGTGCCACCGGGCCGGCCCTAATGCAATATTTTAAGAAATCAAAATTAATGACAAAAACTGACAGTGAACAAAATATTAAAATTTTAAATAAAGACAAGATCCAACAGTGTCAAGTCAAGCCATAGTAGAGCCTGAGGCAAAAGAAAAAAATGAACACTTCCATCTGCATGTTTGTATGTATTCTTCTTAATGATTAATTTCTTCCAAAATGTTAAAGTAGTTGAAAAAATATTGAAATATTGAAAAGCACATGTATTAAAACTGACAATGTTATTTTACATTGAAATATGTTTCTGCCCAAACCAGGATTTATTATAATTTTTATTTGGGTGCTTTAATGGAAGCAAATTCATTTTTTCCAACTACTTTAATGCTGTGGAATAAAACGAACTATTAAAAAATACATAAACAGGGGGCCGGCCCGGTGGCGCACTGGATAGTGCGCCGCTTGGGAAGCGCGGCGGCGCTCCTGCCCGAGGGTTCGGATCCCACATACGGACCGGTTCCCGTTCACTGGCTGAGCGAGGCGCGGGAGCAACGGCGAGGGTTGCAATCCTGTTGCCGGTCCCCGGTCCGGTACGGGGGCAACACTGAGGGTTGTGCTCCGTTGCCGGACACAAAAAAAGACAAAAAAAAAAAAAATACATAAACAGGGGGCCGGCCCGGTGGCGCACTGGATAGTGCGCCGCTTGGGAAGCGCGGCGGCGCTCCTGCCCGAGGGTTCGGATCCCACATACAGACCGGTTCCCGCTCACTGGCTGAGCGAGGCGCGGGAGCAACGGCGAGGGTTGCAATCCTGTTGCCGGTCCCCGGTCCGGTACGGGGGCGACACTGAGGGTTGCGATCCGTTGCCGGACACAAAAAAAGACAAAAAAAAAAAAAATACATAAACACATATGTCTAGGGGCACGGGTATGCCCTTTTTCCTTAGGCACCAATATGGCTCAATACTGCGCTAGTAGGAAGAAAACCCAGGAGTGTGTCAGAGCCTGCTTGGTTTCACTCCTGGGAGTCAGTTGTGCACAAATCTCAACTCACTGATATTGGTAGTTTAAAATCGATTGTCATGGGAGTATTTACACCACGGGAATTGGCGATCAGTTTCGAATTGATTGGCAAGGCAAATAAGGGCCTTGCCTTTCTGGGGAACTGGTTGTTAAACATTTATCAGCACATCACTGGAGGAATCTCAGTCTCCAAAGGAAAATCTGGGTGTTATTACCAGAAGAATGGTTTCCGGAAAGGCAAAATAGCAGCTGTCCACCATGGTAGGTTTTTTTGTAAACACAAAGGAGGGCTTGAGTTGGGCTTTTCATGCTAGCTAAAATAGCCACTGTGTATTGAGCACTTACTATGCACCAGGCAGTGTGCCAAGTACTTTATGCATGGCTGGCCAGTACAGGGATTGAACCTTGGACCTTGGTGTTATCAGCACCACACTGTAACCAACTGAGCTAACTGGTCGGCCTTACTCTTTTATTTAAGAGATGTTTGAGAGGCAATGGGTTAAAAACACAGGTTCTGGAGCCAGACTACCAGGTTCAAACCCCAGTTCTGTTCTACTAGCTGTGTGACCTCGGGCAAGTTACTTAACCTCTCTGGGTACTCCAGTTTCCTCATCTTTATAATGGGAGTAATAATATCAGTATCCACCCCATTGGGTGGTTATGAGGATTAAATGAGTTAATCTGAGTAAAGCTTCTAGGCACATATGAAGATTTCAAAAGGCTTTATTATTTCACTATTAATTTATAGTTTTATGATGAATTTGCATAACACTATGAGGTAGCGGTTTGTATTGCCTCCTCCTTATAAGGGAGGAAGCTGAGACACAGAGAGGTTAAGTAAGTGTCTCCCCGTCACACAGCTAGAAGGGGAAGGAACCAGGTTCAAAGGCCGTGAGGCTATGCTAGGGCAATCCTCAGAACAGCACCCTACTGACCATCGGTGTGTCTGTCTGTCCTTTTATTTGCCCTGTATAGCCAGAAGGAATCAGAGTCAACAAAACTGTGGTTGTTCGCACACTGAATCCACAAGGTGCAGGTGAGTTAGCTGCAGAAGAGGGCACGGGACCACCACCTGGGCACGGTGCTGCAGGGCAGGGGTGGGAGGGACCTGGTGCCATCGGTGTCTCTCACTCACCTAGCAGGGGGAGTGCAGAGAGAAGAGGTCCGTCCTGCAGACCTCAGTGACCAAGTCCCAGATACAGAGTCTGAGACCAGGATTCTCCTGCAAGGTGAGACGCCCTTGACCACCACCCCGTGGAGCCCATGAAGGCAGGGGGGTGGGGAGCGTGAGTCCCATGAAGGAAGCTGAGTTCCCTCTAATTCTGGGGCTGTTTAATCACTGAGCCTCCATCCTTCATTTCAGCTAGCACAGCCCCTCCTGGATCTGTCTTCTAGAAGCCTTCAGGCAGTATTTAGTTCAGCAAAGAGCTTTTGCTGATAAATAAGTTTAAATGAGGAGTGATGTAGTTCAAGAGCAATTCTGCAGCTCATTGCCAGGGATGAAGACTGGGGCAAGAAGGCATGAGAAGGGGACTTGCAACCTGTGAGCTGTAAGGCTTTGGGGCAAGAGCCTTGGTTTCCTCGTCTGTGATAGGGAGCGAATCCTAGTATCTACCACCAAGGGGTGTTGTAAGGATTAAATGAGAAAACATATGGTGTTCTCTTAGAACAGAGGCTGGCAGATAATATTAAGCACAATGTAAGTATTCGTGACTATTTTTACTGAAATTATTTTAGTACTGTTGGAACAAGAGAGCCAGGGACCAGGGGTCCCCCTGTGAAGCGCAAGCCCCCCTTCCTCCACATGCAGACCTGGATCCAGCCATTCAGTCATGCAGTCCCCCAGCCACCACCTGTCCCTGACCCCTTGGTCAGAGGCTGGGAACGCAGGGGGCAGTCCGGACCCTCCTCACGCCGACGGTGGGTCACCAGGCTTGAGCAGCGTCCTCCTACCCGGCTGTAGGAACCCCGGTGGCTCAGATGACAGAGGACGCTATTGATGGAGACCATCTGAAACACCTCATCGTGACCCCCTCGGGCTGCGGGGAGCAGAACATGATCAGCATGACGCCCACGGTCATTGCTGTGCACTACCTTGACCACTCCGAGCAGTGGGACAAGGTCGGCCTGCAGAAGCGGCAGGACGCCTTGAAGCTCATCCAGAAGGGTGTGCCCCCTGGCTCTCTGGAAGACCCCCGGATCTCTCTGGAACCCCTCTCCTCTGCGAACTCTTCCCCTCCGCTCTCTGAACCCTGACCCCCTCTGAGTCCCTCCTTCTTTTAAAGCTTCCCTCTCTCCCACCCCAAGCCGCCCTTTTCTCTCTGAACCCCTGTCCCACCCCTTGTAGCATTCCTGTCCCCTCTCTGTGCCCCTCCTCTCCCTGGCGTCCACCCCCTTCGCTCAGCCCCCTCCCTCCCATCCCCCACCCCCGCTCCTTTGGGGACATTCTCTCTTCCC